TTTCTTATATTGAGGATAATTTATTAAAGGGCCATTTATCAACACTTTGCAAAGTAAACTAAATACATTTTGTTTTAATTGAATTTGGTGAAACTTTAATTTAGAAAGAATACACATACTTTTAATATGCTTATTTGGAACTATTATTTTTCAAGGAAACTATGATTAATATAAACAAATGCATACTTGTATTATCTGTTTGACATAATTTATATTGGGAAAAATCATCAATAGATAATATAAAATGATTTCTACAAAATGAATAATTACATAGTTTTAGTAATTCTGGAAAGAAAAATAAAGACTGCATTTTTTAAAGAAAATTCCACTTGTAATTTTTTTGAGTTCTCCTTGACCTCTATGCCTGAGATTCTGAAATAAAGGTGATTTGTGGCAAAAACAAGTTTGAGGAAGCCAAGAATTTTCACTCACTCTACAATCGTGCATCACTAAATAAATCAGCAACTTCTATTCTTCAGTGGTTAACAAAGTATTATTTATTATCTTCATTTTACTATGCACATGGAATATACTATTCTTTTCCAAGGTCATTGTTAGTACCATGCTGTAGATGCATTTGTCAGATGCTGCTCTAAGGTTAGTTACTAAGTGACAAGTCCAAACCCAATATAAACAACAGTTCTATTTATTTTAGGCTATTGAAGGTGAACCAAAGTTTCTTTCCATATCTAGTAGCTTTATATTTTGATGTATTTCCCTTCTACTTCCAAATTAATCTCCATTAAGTTGAACACCTTTGGTATTCATAAACTTACCTCCTGAGATAAAACACAGGGGAATGCTTCATAAACTAGACGGTGCTATCAGGGGCCGGGTACTGTATCACCACTGTTCTTACGACGCAGTAAGCAGTTTGCGGAACAGGGAATCATTGAGAACAGAGATGATGAAAGGTTGGAGAACTGAGTCCTGCATTCTAGAAATATTTAGAATTTGGGATGATGATGAAAACCCAAACAAAGAGAAGAAGAAGGCAGCTAATGAAATAAGAACCTAAAGGCTAACAGTCCTTTTGAAGAAAGACTTTGGGTGGCTGAATAGGAAGCCGAGGGACCAGATTGCTGCACTGGTACTCTGAATGCACCAGTCTTTATGAACCCATATGATGATCCTTCTGCAGAGACATGTTGAGGAAAAAGGAGACATGACCACTAGGAAAAAAGTCATCTGAACACACACCAAACGATCTTTGTTGCCATTTACAGTTGCTTAGGTAAAATAAAATTATTTCTAAAAACTGCTAAACACACTGTATAACATTGTATGAACGATGATGAATATGACAATAGAAATTATCACAATTTGAAAACTGAAAATCACCCTACTATTCTTGAATATATTATAGCTGAAACAAACTGGGGTCAAATTCAATGCATCTGAGTTATCACTGTGAACCACCTTATCAAAATGAATCTGGTTCTAGGTTACACAGTGTGTTTTTCTTTAAAATTGAAATTTAAATTACAATATCACATATGAATTGCAAGCAATGCTACTTCAGATTCCAAAACGATACATGGAATAGTTTTGCTGCAGCTCGTATTTTAGTGCCATTCTGGTTTGTTTTTCAACATTTGAAACTATCAGAATTTCGGGTATTAGAAGAATAGTCAAGTAGTTGAAAAAGTATTGATGATTGTGTCAATATGTTTGCTCTGCATGGCTAAAAGAACAGAACTTGTTTTTTCCCACTGGTGTTTAGAACCTGCATCAATCAGCTACTTTGAAAGGGTGCCAAGTGTCAAGTGAGGCAAAATGAAGGTTCAAAGCCATTTTGACCCTACACTTCCAGGTTACTAGTGAAATAACCACACCTATACAAATGAGCCAGATTCAATACCTTAAAAAAAGCACAGAGTAAGTTCCCATAAGATTGGAATTTTTAAATCATTTTACTGAAATAGGAAAATATTTTCAGTTTCCTAAGAGTAAACACTGCAGAGTACAGATGGCTGCTTTTTATAAGAAACATATCAGTTATCATTTCATAATAGCCACCAGGTAGTTTTGAAAGCTAAAAAGTTGTTAAATTATTTGATACCATTGGTGATGAAAACAAAATGATACCTAAAAGGTATATAAATATTTTGATGGTAAAACTTTGCCCGTTAAAGTGTGTAGAACCCTCTCTTGTTTGAAATAAACATGAACAAGAACAGATGGAAGATCAGGTTAAGGAGTAATTAGTAAAATATTCACCAGCTTTGAAAATTGTCATAAATGAAGCAAAATCAAATTTGCAGAACACAATAGTAGTGTTATTCCATGTAATCCTACATGGCTATAATTACATAAATACATTTTGGTATAACTCTTTCTAATCAGACATTTTTGAGGTGACAAATGAACTGTATTGTAGTAAGGTTGTATTTTATAAAGAATACACATCCGTGTAAAGAAGAGACAATGGTGCATTTCAAGTTCTTTATTCAAATTCAAACCTGGCAAACTTTCTAGAGCACTTGAGTTTTAAGTCATTATAGCCATTTAAACTAGGTCTCAACTTGCTTTAGCAATATATCAAATGAGACAAACACAAGGAAAATATGATCGTGCTGTATAAAAATAGAAATGTGACCTATGCATTGCTACTTTCCCTGCCCCTATTTATTTCAGCATACTATCCACAGTGGTTTCCTAACCACTTATTAAAAATTGAAAGGCAACAGCTATAAACTCTGAGAAACACGATAGGCAATCCACTTATAGCAGATGTGGATTTAAAAAAAATGTTAGCCTGGAGTGGCTGAAAACCATCTAAATCTTAAATCTCTCCAATTCTGATGGATAGTTGCTTGCACCATACGTGTTCATATCAGTAATAATTGAAAACAAGGTTTTGAGGTAAAAATTCATTCTTGCCACCTTGACAAGTATGGTTTGTGAGAAAATTATTAGTGGTTGAATATCCTCCACTATCTCTACTTCTCTTGTGAAATAAACAAACAAAAAAAAAGAGACAGAGAGAGTAATCTATTAATACATAATGAGTTCTTGAGCTTATAAATAACTCCCAGAGTGAAAAAATTCCGATAAAAATGCTAATTCGACACACACACACATACATGCATATAATTTATAGATGAAGTTTCAACTTCAACTATTCTTTATAATAATATTTATGCCTTAAAGCCCTACTAATAGTCAAATTGCAATAAAATTATGGTACATGGAAATACTGAAGATAAAATGAAAATGAAAGACTAACTAATATTATCCTAATAGATAAGTATCATAATTCCAAAATACAATGGAGGACATTTTAACTCTTAGAAAAATAATTTTTTTTCTAATGAAAACCCTTTCATTTTCATTTTCTACTTCCTCCTTTTCTTGTTGTTTTGGCCTAACCAACAAAATATAGAGTAAAACAGAAGAATCAGCCTGATAAACTATATTAATACCAATAACAAAAACATGTATCCTAACCTGCCCCTACAAGAGTAGAAGATATTTAATTTTCACAAAGAAATTGCCTTAATATATCAAGACATTTTGTGGCCATTGGTTCAACTGCTGCTCCAATGTACTAAATCCCATCTATTTACTTTCTTTTTTCTTAATTTCTTTATGTTTATTTATTTTTGAAAGAGAGAGAGAGCAAGAGCAAGCGTGAGCGGGGTAGAGGCAGAGACAGAGAGGGAGACAGAATCCGAAGCAGGCTCCAGGCTCTGAGCTATCAGCACACAGCCCGAGGTGGGGCTCGAACTCATGAGTCATGAGATCATGACCTGAACTGAAGTTAGTCGCTTAACCAACTGAGTCACCCAGGCAACCCCCCCACCCCGCGCCATCTATTTACTTTCTATATTAAATTCATTTCTATTTCTAACAGGAAAACATGTTTCTTCATATTAATTTTCCTTTGTATTTTGCACCTCTTTGGCTTCCATTTTTTTAACCAATATATCTGCCTTATAAAACAAGAGCCTAGAAAGAATGCAGTATTGATGCTTGAAGCATGTGTAGTGTTCTAAATTTATTACAAGAAGTGAAAAGCAAATGAATTCTTCTCCCACCAAAGTCATGAAAGGACATGTCTAACAGTTCCAAAGCAGCCCTTTGTGATTTAGAGAGAAACTATCAGACTAGCCTCCAGATAGGGCTGCACAGGTCCAGAAAATTACTTTATAAAGTAGTCACCTTTGGTATGACCTGAGATAAATAAAGAGCTGGAAGGTAGCTGACCTGGGTACATTAACTTTCATCCTTCTTTCTCAGTTGATAACTTTGGTTGTCTTGCCCACCTGAACATCTGCATATACCTAACAAGAAAGAGCCAATATGCCTCATCTTTGAAAGTGAAGAAAAGAAAACAAAGTTCATCTGGTGATTTGTTGTGGCTGTTGTCATTTGCAAGCTCCATCTTTTGCCGTGGTGATCAGTCCAGCCATACCGGAAACGGTTTTCAAACTCAAACAACCGCAAGAAGGCGAATGACCGTGAGAGTTTTTTTGGGAGAACAAATTCCTAAGAGTTAAATCTGAGCAGTTTCCACTATCACTAACCATATATTTAACCAATTTCTTTGCAATTCGACTCTGATGCAAACCTGGTAAAGTATCTTTTATGTAATGGCACAATACAATGAAGTTGCAGAATTTGATTATTTAGTAGAGTTTACCCATCCTGGTTTGACATTATTTACCAATATGCATTTAATAGGCACCCTAATAGTCATTTCATGCCCTGAGGACCATCTGCCCTTTAAAGCCTTTAATTCTCAGAACTGGTCATTCACTAGTCTTTCTCAGAAAAAATAAAAATGCCATTTCCATTCAAAGCCATGAGTTAAAGATAACAAAACCCTCAAGAATACATGTCCTGAATAACTTAAAAATGGGGTCATTTTCATTTCCAATTCCTTTTGCATGCTTCTGAATTCACTATCATTATTACTTTACATTCACAATAATAATTATCTTCAATTATATTTCAAAATTAATTCTTTAGAAGTGGTGTTAGAATCATGTACTTACAGTCCGTGATTTTCAGCGTCCTCTTGACTTCTCCACTTCCCGATCCCCCACAACCGTCTTCATCATCACACTCCCCGCTGACCTGTTCAGCCATGCCACCGCCACTGCCCATCTGCAGTTCCCACTTGTTGGGCTTGGGTGACCTACCCTGCAACAACTAAATATGGATACAAAAACACTTATTAATGGAAGACTCAAGTCATCTAAGGAAGTGATTCAGAAACGTGTCTAAATTAGAATGATTTTCTTATGGGGCTCTACTATTTTGGTGAGAATACTTTACCAAATTGAGTCTGTAGGAAAAATTAAAACTACTGAAATAATAATAAATAATGGGCAAGGTGTTACAGCTACAAAGATCTACAATCTGCATATCGGCTCAATAATCAAGCTTTGCTTGAGGCTTTGGAAAGCCAATAAACCAGGCTTTCTTGCTCATGGATAGTTTGGCTGGAGAATCTTTTGTCTCTGAATTAACACATTTAAGCTTGGTCAATCAAACTCCATCAATCAAACTCCAGGACGACACAACTCCCTTTGCAGTATATTGGTTGATACTACTGTGCTGTGCTGTAAGCCAACAATCCAAAATTTCTCAAAACATAGAGTAATATTCTTCAAGAAAAGATTCTGTTAAAAGAATGTCGAATTTTGCACATATATGTGTATATAGCTTTAAACTTTCTTGGATCAGATGCATAGTCCAATGCATATGGCACAGAACTGAACCTGGGAACAAAAGACTTAGATCCCACTTCCATTTCTACAAATTACTTAGGAAATTTAACCAACTTCTTGGTTCTTGGTTCTCAAGTATTTTATTTACTAATATGAGCAAAATGGATGGAATAGCCATTTCCCCCTACAGCATGGGAGTGCTGGTAATATTTTTGAATAATATTGGTAATGCCTGAACTCCTTTTCAAGAAGATGATATCATGAATAATAGAATATTTCACTTAAAGCTAAGATGAGAGAAATGATTGAGTATGTGGCACACACCCCTGTAAGGCAGTATAGAACATATGACCAAGCATGAGCACAAGAGGGTACTGCTATATTATGAACAAAATGTACCACTACTGAACACTTAATGGGCATTTAAATTTTTAGGGTGCTTCGTGAAAGTATCAGGGTTGTTACTTCTAGGAGATTTTCTAGATAATAGTATCGACTGGCAGACAATAATTAAACATGCAGCCCAACGACAATATTTCATATTGGAAAACAAAGGGTAAAATATCCGCAGTACAACTAAGATGAATATGTTTAGCATTTAAGGAACACTTACATCAAAGAAGCTGGACTTTTTTATAAGCTTTCAAAATTAAAAATAAAATGAGGTCACAAATTGTGAAATATTACAATTCTTTAAAATTAATTTTTCCCTAACAAGAACGAAACGGTAAAACAATTTGACAATAATTAAAAAATTCTGGTCAGAATTAATTTCTATTTATTAGCATTTCCTAAATGTGTTAATAGGCGTTAAATTCAAAAAGATGTCTCCCCTGATTCTCTTGCATATTCCTCCAAACAAGAGGTTAATATTCCATAAGACATTCCCTTACTGAGAAGATCATACCCCGGGAAACAAGCCATCATATCTTACTTTTTCTCCACGTTTCAGTTTCTCATCCTCTTCACAATCCCTCTCACTGTTTCCAAGTCCCTGAATATGAGACATAATCACTGCTTCCTAAGACAAACTCATCAAAAAATATCCACAATTCTATCTGACCCACACTTCCAGGTTCCCAATAATCCTATCTCCCTCTGATGGGGTCAATATCTCTGCGTCCTCTGCATGAAAGTTCCATCTTACTATGTTCATTTTCTTCCTTCTCAATCATCACACATCCACAAATGTTCATTTTCGTTCTCACAACTATGATAAAATTTATCTTGCCAAAATCCCCTATACATTTCTAATCAACAAAAACAAGATTTTCACAGTAAGATCCTTATTCAAACCCCACATCTTTTGGATTAAACTATTCCAATTTCTTCTTAGTTTGATCGTCTCTCTCCTCACACTTCCAGGAAAATAAAGATAAATGTTTCAGTTAATAGCAGAAATCTCTGTTCTTCCTTTGTAGTCTCTTTCTGGGAATCCATCCCGACAGATTGTGCTCTCACCTGTATACAAATTACACACAAGTCCTTATCTGCAGCTCTTGCCACAATACTTCATCTCTAAGCAGTGATTGGATATAAAAATGTACTGTACTGCTTTGTATCTTAAAATAAAACTTCCATCTCCACTATTCATGTATCATTACAACTTCTCTTCCCAACCCCTGATTGCAGGGGACATCAGTCTCTCCATCTACTACCACCAAATTATTTTCCCCAAATCAGTACTTTCACCATGTCATTTCTCTCTGCCTTACTGCTCTTTGTGACCCTTAACTGTCAAAAACTGCTAGTTCCCAACATGTGTCTAGAGGAGAAATATCACTAGAGATAGACAAATCACAGAAAGAGATCCTGTGGCAAAATGGTTGTGAAATTCCTATGATGGCCCCTTCTTGATACCCATGAACTAAACGCTCCTGAGAAACCTCACAGTAAGCAATCTTGTTTAACAGTTGAGACTCACTTCCTATTTTCCAAATTTACATAAGCAAATTACCCCTCCCCCTCACTCAACACCCACTGACATACATTTGGAAATGGGGCCTACAAAATACCGTTCAAATACAGTTAAAAACTTTGTTTTTGTTAATTATGTCTAAGCACAATCCTCCAGCACCCAAATTCTGCCTCGGAGCAATCAGTTTGTTTGTCACACTGAAATTGTGTGAATTTATATGTCTATAATTTTGTTTGTGCTTGTTTCATATTTTTCTCACTTCCAACTCTTGTTTTTCCTCCACACAGAATACCCCCATTCATCTTTCACAATTCATCATATCCTAAATCTCAAGTTCAACCTCAAATACCTCTTTTCCTACTCCATACATATTTCTTGGATCTTTTCAATCTATGTGAACCATTCACAGGCACTTAATTAACTTTCTTAAGCATATGCCGTGTCTTTCTGACTAATGCTAAGTTTCTCAAGGATGAGACCATGATATTCTCATTTTTATGCTCCCAATCATTACCAGAGGGATATTTCCACATTATAGATGCTGAATAAATAAGTTTTAATTCATTTGCAATTTGAAAATAATTTATTAAATTTACCCTGTCTTCCACGCCCTTTACATCTAATTTAGGAAAGTGCTTTCACTTTTACTCAAATCTTCAGAGGCCATGATATTCTAGAACAGCTTTTGAATTCATGCTTATTGACTGGTAGATGAATTCACTTATTTATTCAACGACATTGAATATATATTATGCAACTCATACATATGTTGAAGAATATAATTCACATCAAAGGAGAAGACATAGTCTTAGTTCTTAAAAAGTACTCAGTATATATTCCTTTTTAAAATTTTTAAAGTTTACTTATTTTGAGAAAGAGAGAAAGCATGAGTCGGGAAGGGGCAGAGACAGAGGGAGAGAGAGAGAATCCCAAGCAGGCTCCACACCATCAGTGCAGAGCCTGACACTGGGCTCAAACTCATGAAACCATGAGATCATGACTTGAGCAAAAACTGAGAGTCAGACACTTAACTAACTGAGCCACCCAGGTGGCCCTATATTCCTTATTTCAAAAAAGTTCTTAATGTTTATTTACTTTTGATAGAGAGGCAGAGTGTGAATGGGGGGTGGACAGCGAGAGAGGGAGACACAGAATCCAAAGCAGGCTCCAGGCTCTAAGCTGTCAGCGTAGAGCCTGATGCAGGGTTCGAACCCACAAACTGTGAGATCATGACCTGAGCCAAAGTCGGACACCCAACCGACTGAGCCACCCTGGTGCCCCTATATTCCTTCTTTCAAATTGGTCTACATGAATACGCAACAAGGTACAATCAAAATAAAAGAAATGATGTGAAAATCGGGGGTGGGGTGGGGGAAGCAGACTAATGATTTAGTTTTGTCACCTTGCCAAATGATTTTTCTTTTTGATCTTAGTAAGAAGTTCATCTCATTTCTGTGCTCCAGGAAGCATCTAAAATATTGTGGAAATAAAATTTAACATTGAAGGATTATACCAAGAAATACTTCCCCAAAATATTTGTGTTTGCTATTTGTGTTTCCTATTAACTCAAGAGAAAAGGGGTATTCAAATTACCTTTTTAAATGAATACCTAGGAACAGGAATCTAGATAGGGTCAAAAACTTATTTATATAAAATATTCATTTTTTTCTAGAGTAGGAAGGGAACTTTAGCTTTATGATTGGGTCACCAGGTGATGAAATAGCCTCTTGTTCTTTCATAGGACATCAGCTTTTTACTGTCCTCTCCTCCTCCAAAGCCTGGGAGCAGCATGCAGATCACTCTGCCATCTTTCTGTTGGCTCCACCTTCATGGGCAAGTGCTATTTCACTTACTATTCTTAAGTCATTTTGGAGAAATATACACAGCTTCCATCAAAGACAAGCTTGTGCCCCATGTCTTTAGGTAAAACGAAACAAGTTCCACATGTGCACATTTAAAGCGACATACACAGGAGCACCTGGTTCAGCATCTGACTCTTGATTTCAGCTCAGGTCATGATCTCACCATTCATGAGACTGAGCCCCTCATTGGGCTCTATGCAAACAGCATGGAGCCTGCTTAGGATTCTCTCTCTCTCCTTCTCTCTCTGCCTCTCCCCTGTTCAGCTCTCTCTCTCTCTCTCTCAAAAGAAATAAATACACTTAAAAAAAAGCAATATATACAAATAAAATGACCCTGTAGAATGATAAAGAAGCCAATTTTTATAAATGACATATGAAAATCAGTCATATTACAGTAGATATACTCATGCCACATACTATATCAAACATCGCTTCTTTTTATCACATACATGGATAGCTGTTCCATATACTCATAAAATACAGAACATATTAGAATTTTTCAAAATGTAAAGCCTTAAAATTTTAACATTACTCTCTGGGCCTACATTCTCTGCATCTGTAAATTAAGAGAACAATATCTGTTTGGAAGGTTTTGAGACTATTAATTGGTTTAATTATACAAAGTGCTACCATATTGTGAGTGCTCAGTAATGGTTAGTTATTTGTATCACAGTTATCATTATAACCGGTAGGAACTGA